GTGTAATGTCAAATTGTCTTACAATAACTCTACTGGAGTGATGCGTAATCATATTCAATACAGGCATGTAGGCGTTAGCTTAGAGGCTAGCCAAAGCCAGCAAATGTGTCAATCACGTCATTCACTACAACCCTGCCGGCGCTGCGATCCCGTCCGCACCGTCTATTCCTCCAACGAAAACCCACTTCGGTGGTGGTGCGGGATGTCCAGGCGCTTTCTGAAACTCTTATCGGCTTGCTTTTCGTTATCTCTGCATGCCTGCGACTTCAGTTCCTGCCAAGTGACTTTTTTCTAGTTTTTAGACGATATAGCCTACACAAAGTATACGTTTTTAAAAGCCGTTTTAATGCTATTTCTTGATAAACCTTCCTATTGTTTTTGAATTGTGTTTTAATATGTTGGCTAACGTTATATGAAGATTAAGAATTCTGTCAGGCTATTGATTGATTTTCCACTGTTCTGCATTTCCCCAGCTGATTTGAATAAATAAGCTATGCTTTGGCCGATGTTGAGTGTATACTTTTCTTTTTTTCTTTTTAACGACCTTCTAAAATTAAATGATGATAACGCGAGGCAAGTGTGCGGCAAGCGGAATTCATTGAGGGATTTGACAGTGTGATTCATAGATTAAGTATTTCAAATATAGGCTATTATATATATGCTACACGCAAGCACAGAGTTTATTTTTTTTCTTTAAGCTTTGCTTTGGCTTACGTTGAGTGTATGCTCTTCTTTTTTTTCTTTTTAACGACCGCCTAAAATGAAATGATAACGTGAAGCAAGTGTGCGGCAAGCGGAATTCATTGAGGGATTTGACAATGTGATTAGTAGATTAAGTATTTCAAATATAGGCTATTATACTGTATATGCTACACGCACGCACAGAGGTTTTTTTTTTTCTTACCGTCTTTTGGGGGTTTCTTGCTTTTAGACTAGTCGGATACAAAACTTTAGTTTAAACGACAGTCAAATTAGTCATCGCGCACATCCCTATTCCAAACCCGTAAGACTTTTGTTCATCTTTGGAATACAATTTAAGATATTTTTGATGAAATCTGAGAGCTCTCTGACCCTCCCATAGACAGCAAGGTAACTACCACGTTCAAGGTCCAGAAAAGCACCAAGATGATCGACAAAGTAGTCCGTGTGACATCAGTGGTTCAACTGTAAAGTTACGAAGCTACGAGAACACTTTTTTGCGCAAAGAAAACAAAAATAACGACTTTATTCCACATTTTCGTCTCTACTGCATTCACGGTACTGTCTTACGAAGGTCTTACGGGTTTCGAACAACACGAGGGTGAGTAATTAATGACAGAATTTTCATTTTTGGGTGAACTAACCCTTTAACTTCGATTTAAACTCATGTACAGAGGACAGGGATCTCAGATTAAAGGGAAGGCTATTCCAGAGCCTAGGTCCAACAACAGCAAACGCACGATCCCCTCTTGACTTCAGTCATGTTCGAGGCTGAGCTAGAGAGTAACTGTTTGTGGACTCCATTTAGAAACCTGGCTGCAGCATTATTGAACCAGAATTATATCTGGTGTCTGAATAATTTTTGGTTTGACTGTGTGTATGTGTGTGTATATAAATATATATATATTATAACATTAAGTAACATCATGACTATAAAATGTACCTTCCTCTCTGTGTGTGTGTGTATAGGTGGTGGGCAGTATGGACGCTCATCCCAGCAGGTACTGCGCCACGGTGCGTGTCCAGAGACCCAGACAGGAAGTGATTCAGGACTTGGCCTCTATGGTGCGAGAGTTACTCATTCAGTTCTACAAGTCCACTCGCTACAAACCCACCAGAATCATCTTCTACAGAGACGGCGTGTCTGAGGGCCAGTTTAGACAGGTGTGGATTAATTTGTCTTTCCCATCACTAATAGAATAATTTTATGTTCATTAAAATATAAAGCATGATCCTGTTTCTGCTCATAGGTGTTGTATTATGAGCTGCTGGCCATTCGAGAGGCCTGTATCAGTCTTGAGAAGGAGTACCAGCCTGGCATCACGTACATAGTGGTGCAGAAACGCCACCACACGCGCCTCTTCTGTGCCGACCGCAACGAGAGAGTGAGTGTGCCACCTGTTTATGCGCCTCTGGAGAGTCAGATTACTCTAAAATTATGATGAAAGAAGGCTTGTAAGACTTCAGATGCGTAGTAGGGCTGTGCGATTTGGGGGAAAATATCAAAGAGCGGATTTTTTATTTATTTATTTTTTACAGATATTGCGATTGCGATTTTGATTTGCGATTTTAAATTTGCAAAGTCAAGCTTCAGCTCAATATTGTCAATAATGTGCAGCACAGTATGGGTATCATTACCCTGCTGAAAAAAACTATAGAAACCATCACAGAAATTCTTAGTTTCCATTAAACCATTACAAAATTCCTTTTTGTTTTGGGCATTATTCCTATAGGAATTACTGTTGTTCTATTGGTTGCCATCTGCCAGATTACATCCCACCAATAGAATCCATCAAATAGATGCCATTATAGTTTACATTAAAACCAAACAAATTCCCATTATAACCCATGAACCCATTATAAAGCATGAACGGCTCGTCCGTGACGCAGGTTTTGCGCCGCGTGTGGCAGAGAGGAGCTAGTATGAGAAGCATTCACAGATACAGGCTGTGTGCGCTTTCTTCTGAATTGGGCCAACGTGCATTATAAACTTATTTCAAATGAATCTGTTGGGGAGATAAAATGTGTAAGATAACGTTCACGTACTAACAAAAACATCTAAGAATGTATCTTTTATTCTCCAGTACTGAAAACAGAACCGATAAGGGAGCATTTGATGTGCGCTGTGACGCAGCTCTTGCAAATGACAATTTTTGTTCGTTGTCTGTCATTTCGAAGCTTAAGTTGCATACGGTTTTCTTTAGTTTTAATTTGCCTAACTATTGAGCTGACCCAGTAGACGCCATAATCCCCCTCTGTCTCTCTGCCGTCCCGCTTTCCGTTTTTTTTTTTTTTTAATGGTGGGTGTTTACGCAGTTGGCTAGAGCAGTGCTGATTGGGGAGATTGGAGGTGCGCTCACTCTTGCCCAGGGCAAGTAAGACTGCAACTCAAGACTGACAGTCAAGCATATGCTCTGGAACCGAGTAATATCGTGTCCACATCGCAGGCTTTGTGATTAGCAAATCGCAACGTCTCAAATCGCGATTTCGATTAATTGCACAGCCCTAATCTCTACTCCAGTGTTGTGATCTAACAGACACCCCGGTAGCAAGTAACATGATAAAAACAGCACTAAACTCCAGCAAGATAAAATAATTTTATGCAAAACTATTCATCTTTATCTACAGATCAAGTATAATAATAGGAACATTTAATCATCTTGGAGAGAGTTTCATCATCTTGACTGTCATAACCAAACTCGACACGCAGAATGGAGGATGACAGACATCCACAGTGGAGAGAAGAGTTTACGCAAACTCGAATTTAACGACTTAAATATTCAGCTGTACTAGTGTTAATTTAGTTAACGAAAAGTATGATGAAACGTGTTCGTTGGCTAGCTTTTTTCCCCATGACTAAGATGAGGCGATGGCAAGACAATAAGGTCAATAAACGATATATATATATATATATATATATGTATATATGTGTATATATGTGTATATGTGTATATGTATATATGTGTATATATGTGTATATGTGTATATGTATATATGTGTATATATGTGTATATGTGTATATGTATATATGTGTATATATGTGTATATATGTATATATGTGTATATATGTATATATGTGTATATATGTATATATGTGTATATATGTATATATGTGTATATATGTGTATATATGTATGTATATGTATATATGTATGTGTATATATATGTGTGTATATATATATGTGTGTATATATGTATATATGTGTGTGTATATGCGATTTGGGGGAAAATATCAAAGAGCGGATTTTTTATTTATTTATTTTTTACAGATATTGCGATTGCGATTTTGATTTGCGATTTTAAATTTGCAAAGTCAAGCTTCAGCTCAATATTGTCAATAATGTGCAGCACAGTATGGGTATCATTACCCTGCTGAAAAAAACTATAGAAACCATCACAGAAATTCTTAGTTTCCATTAAACCATTACAAAATTCCTTTTTGTTTTGGGCATTATTCCTATAGGAATTACTGTTGTTCTATTGGTTGCCATCTGCCATATTACATCCCACCAATAGAATCCATCAAATAGACACCATTATAGTTTACATTAAAACCAAACAAATTCCCATTATAACCCATGAACCCATTATAAAGCATGAACGGCTCGTCCGTGACGCAGGTTTTGCGCCGCGTGTGGCAGAGAGGAGCTAGTATGAGAAGCATTCACAGATACAGGCTGTGTGCGCTTTCTTCTGAATTGGGCCAACGTGCATTATAAACTTATTTCAAATGAATCTGTTGGGGAGATAAAATGTGTAAGATAACGTTCACGTACTAACAAAAACATCTAAGAATGTATCTTTTATTCTCCAGTACTGAAAACAGAACCGATAAGGGAGCATTTGATGTGCGCTGTGACGCAGCTCTTGCAAATGACAATTTTTGTTCGTTGTCTGTCATTTCGAAGCTTAAGTTGCATACGGTTTTCTTTAGTTTTAATTTGCCTAACTATTGAGCTGACCCAGTAGACGCCATAATCCCCCTCTGTCTCTCTGCCGTCCCGCTTTCCGTTTTTTTTTTTTTTTAATGGTGGGTGTTTACGCAGTTGGCTAGAGCAGTGCTGATTGGGGAGATTGGAGGTGCGCTCACTCTTGCCCAGGGCAAGTAAGACTGCAACTCAAGACTGACAGTCAAGCATATGCTCTGGAACCGAGTAATATCGTGTCCACATCGCAGGCTTTGTGATTAGGAAATCGCAACGTCTCAAATCGCGATTTCGATTCGATTTCAATTAATCGCACAGCCCTAATGCATAGTGTACTTAAGTTCACAGAAGTGACAGGAAGGATCAGTCATCAAAACAATGACGGATGCGTGACACTGAATGCTAACGCCCCTAACAGCTACCGTTTACACAAGTGTGCCAAAAAGGGGATTTCTACTTACCAGTGTTGTTTTAGTATTATTAGCATTTATTTTAATTTGTTCAGTTTTCATCAACTTTAGTCATTCATTTTATTTTGCCTTTTTTTTTTTTTTGTATCATTGAGTAATTATTTGTTAATGTTATTATTTTTATGGTTAACTTTTTTTTTTTTTTATAGGTTTTGTTTTTTTTTTATTACGGAAACTTATTTCAGTTAGGGTGCCAGTGTGACATTTTCTGTTTAAGTTTTCAATCTAATATTTGTTATATCTCAGCTCTATTTCAGTTAACAAAAGCTATTAGTTAATAATAACACTACTTGTTTTATACAAGTAGAAGAGCATATAGTAGTGTCTGAAAATACTAAAAAGCTATTTTAAAACTTTAATTTTGATACACTATTAATGCAGTGGTTTTATCAACACCCGTTGCACTTTATTTGTACTCTCTAAAATGCCCATCCTGAGTTAATAGTTATAAATTGAAGTAAACAGAATACCTAGGTCAGATTAAGGAGAGTTTATTAAGAACTCTGGAATGTCATCTGGTGAAGTGTTTTCAGACAAACCTGAAGGCTGCACCTTTTTTGAAAACATCATTTTGGCGTTGATTGCATTCTTTAAATGACTGTTTATTTCCTCCACAGGTGGGTCGCAGCGGAAACATTCCTGCTGGTACGACAGTCGACACGGATATCACACACCCCTACGAGTTTGACTTTTACCTCTGCAGTCATGCTGGAATACAGGTACAGACAAACAGATTTTCATGGCCCCAAATGTCACTTCCTCCTGCCTTTTTAAGCTGCCCGCTGGTCCGGTGTTGTGTGTAAAACGCCACCTTGTTCACTCGACAAATGATTTTGCACGCAGATTTGGATTTAGCAGTGTGAATAACTGTTATGTAATCCAGTAGAGGCATCCAGTCTTGAGTATATGTTGGTGAATGGCACAAAATTACTCCAAAAAGTAACATCTTCAGATATTACTTTTATTACCTTCCAGATATTTTTTTTCCCACTACTGGGTTTTTTATTTTCAGAATTATGAGTTTAAATCTCAGTTTTTCTGAGAATTAATATAAACTCAGAATTGCACAAAAAAAATTAATAATCGGAATTGTGAGAAAATGTTACAATGCAGAAAAAAAGAAAAAAAAAAAAGAAAATATTTTTTGCTAAATATATTTTCTTTTTTTTACGTCTTTGATAATGGTTTTATTTAATAAAATAACATTTCTTTATAAAGGTCTTGTTTTTGTGATAGTCCCTCAAAAACATCCTAATGCGACAGCCCTGTCAGTCCGATCAAGCTACAGTATCGTACAAGATGTTTTTGATAGCGTACCTTGAGCATTCGTGAGTTTGACTCCTCTTCCTCTTTTCTCAGGGCACCAGCCGACCCTCCCACTACCATGTCCTGTGGGACGACAACTGCTTCACTGCTGATGAGTTCCAGCTGCTCACTTACCAGTTGTGCCACACGTATGTGCGCTGCACCCGCTCCGTCTCCATCCCCGCGCCAGCCTACTACGCCCATCTGGTGGCCTTCCGTGCGCGATACCACTTGGTGGACAAAGAACACGACAGGTGTGTGTGCCAAGACCCATATCTGTGGCATTGTCCTACAATAGCACTGTTACTGATGATATAGCTAAAAAGTTTTGTATTGTTAGGTGAATTAGACCACAAATTGTTAACTCCCAGCATGCTTTGCATATTGCTGGATCAGGAGAGTAAATGTTGAATTTAAGTGTTATTTTATGTATTTTTGGGTTAAGGAAAAGACCTGTTAATGTTTATTGTTCAGTTATGTTTGCAAAGAGTTATGTTGACGTTTGAGATGAAATGACAACTTTTGTTATTAAGACTAGAATCTAATAACTAAATTCTAAAAAAAAAAAAGTATGTTTAAAACTTTTTTTTTTCTTTTTATATATTTTGAATCGGTTTTCATTCAATTTAAAAACGTTTAGTAATTTTTATTATGTTTTTTTTATGTCTAAGTATTTTTTATTTTTTTTCAGTATTATTTATTTTAGATCGCCATGAAAATAGCCTTAATGCTGGCATGGCTTTAAAATGTGAATAAATTAATAAATAGTTATTTTAGTATGTCAAGCTAAACTAAATTAAAATGAGAAATGTTGCCTTGTCAACTAGCTGAAATAAAAGCTAAAAAGTTTTGTATTGTTAGGTGAATTAGACCACAAATTGTTAACTCCCAGCATGCTTTGCATATTGCTGGATCAGGAGAGTAAATGTTGAATTTAAGTGTTATTTTATGTATTTTTGGGTTAAGGAAAATACCTGTTAATGTTTATTGTTCAGTTATGTTTGCAAAGAGTTATGTTGACGTTTGAGATGAAATGACAACTTTTGTTATTAAGACTAGAATCTAATAACTAAATTCTAAAAAAAAAAAGTATGTTTAAAACTTTTTTTTTTCTTTTTATATATTTTGAATCGGTTTTCATTCAATTTAAAAACGTTTAGTAATTTTTATTATGTTTTTTTTATGTCTAAGTATTTTTTATTTTTTTTCAGTATTATTTATTTTAGATCGCCATGAAAATAGCCTTAATGCTGGCATGGCTTTAAAATGTGAATAAATTAATAAATAGTTATTTTAGTATGTCAAGCTAAACTAAATTAAAATGAGAAATGTTGCCTTGTCAACTAGCTGAAATAAAGTTTTTGTTTTTTTTTTCCTGTTAATGTTTATTTTTGAGTTTATTATTTAAGTAATGAAATTGATTTTTATGGTTTTAATTTTAATTTCAGTTTTAGTTAACTCTAATAACCCTGGTTTAAAATTAAGATAACTTTAATTTTATGTAACCACTTGCCTTAAAACACTTAGTAAAATCCAAAAGCCATTTTTTCAGTATAATCAATTTTGTAATTGTTTTTGTCCTAAATTGCAAATTAAGCAGGATTATGATTTTGTGTTGTGTTCTGTGATCGCTCAAGGTTTCTGTAACAGTTTCCCTTGCAGTGTTATTTTATTGTATCACTGAGATACTATTACAGTTTTCACTAAAAATTTTTATTAGTTTTTATTTCTCATTAGCATTTTAAATTTACTTAAAGTTTTAGTAACTTTGTTGTGTGCTTTGCCATTTTTACCAGTTGTTGTTTTCAAAATGTCTACAGTTTTTATTCATTTTTATTTCAAGTTATCAAGTTTAACTAAATAAAAATGAGAAATGTTGCCTTGTTTTTTTTTTTTTACATTTAAATGTAACCTTTTTTTTTTTTATTTATTTAAATGTTTTTTTTTTTTGATTAAGCAAGGGAAATGTTTTTTTATGGTTGTAGTAAACTATAATAACCCTGCTCGCTCTTCGTCTCTCTCAGTGCCGAGGGAAGCCACGTCTCCGGACAGAGTAACGGTCGGGATCCCCAGGCGCTGGCCAAAGCTGTGCAGATTCACCATGACACCCTGAGGACCATGTACTTTGCCTAAGCCAGCTCACATCCATCCCACGTTCGACTAGTCACGCACACGAACCCGACAACCGCATACACATGCCATCACACCTCCCAAAAGCCTGTGCATCCCTGTGGGTCGATCTCTGTGGCGATGGAAGCGCGGCCCGCCCCGACACTGTGCAGCAGGATGAGGAAGGCCTGCTTTAATTCCACACGTGGACCTCGGCACTATTATGCAATATTAAACCAGCCAACTGAGGCCGTTCTGTCATATCCCCTCCAAAACCCAAACCTAAAGGGAAGCCCGTCTATGTCCCCGCTCCTCTTCCTGTCTGTAGACGTAACGTTTAATTACTTTCCCTGCCTGTCACGCCTTGTACCTCAACGTTTTCTAACAGCACTTTTGCCCCTTATTGTCCTTCGCCCAAAATGAGATTGGAATGGAAGCGGATGGAAAGACTGAGTCCAGAAGAAATTAAGTTTCGGGGAACGCCTGCGGATAGAGGCGCTCACACTAGCAATGTACTTTCCTCCCGTTCTCAATTATTTTTGTAGCCAATGGTGACTTAACTACGTGTTAAAGAGTCAGTCGTGAAGAACCAATTGTGCGTTAGCGTTTTAAAACCGGAAAACAAGCTTTTAATGTTAGAGAAGTGCCATTGCCGAGCGTAAAGTCCTTTATGACGTACCCCGCCGAGGGGCAGAAGGCTGACCGTTGGATTTTTTTTAAGCAAATCTACGCTCTAGCTTTCATGTACTACAGTGCAAAGTGATCATGTTTGGATGCTTTTTCTTGTTTTTAACACCCGAATTCCCTCCAATATTTATTAGTCTCGATCAAACGCAACTCCTAGCAGATTTGTCTCGTTCGCTCCCCTCCTGCACTTTGTCTCGATTTAAAATGCATAGTCCATGTTATGTGACAGATCATACATAGTTTAGTGCAATAATCCATTAGCGGGATGAGAATACCCCCGTTGCGATTGGGGGGTAAAAAAGGCATCCGAAAGCATGCGATGGGCATTGCGGTTGGTTTTTAAGATGGAGGTGTGCATGTTTGGCACTTTTATAGTTTCTTTTTGGTGAAAGTACAGCAGCGTTTCCTGACGAGTGACTGTCGTGTGTTAACAAGTGCCTGCTATGATGATGGGAGGTCAGAAGCGGAACAAACGCACCTCATTTAGTCCAACCAAGGCCACGTTCGACTGTACGGCCTTAACAAAAAATCTCACCGTTTCAACATCTCAATTTTCACTGCCCTGCCTGTTTCAAAGGATTTCTCTGCTGTTGTACTTGTTTGAGTCTGACCGGCGGGTTCATGCTTCAGTTCGTCTAGGCATGAGGGACCGACTGAGCCACGTGTTCAAGGAGAAGCTCTGGCAGCACCTGATTCGTGCTCGATCACTGGAGGGCCACTAGGGGTCAGTATAGTGTTTTACTTGAAGGGTGCCGTGAGCGTCGGGTGCCTTACCGTCTCTCCATGCGCCATCTGAAGCATGTCCCACTGTTTAAAAGGTGATAATCTGCACTAAATAATGCGTAATGCATGGTGCTATTAGGTGCGGCCCGTGGCGGCATCAGCAACTGTGTAAGATGGAACATGGGATGCATAAATGGTGCTGGTTGCATGTATTTCTCTCACTCGGAGGAGAAATTTCTCATCAGGAGACATGTTTTGTATGTTTGTTAGATTTGCGTTTGATTTTATTGTGTAGAAAGGTACAGCACAGTGGCCAGTCAGAATACGATTACGGTCAATTGCACCAAGCACTAGAAAGTGGAAGACTTTTTTTTTTTTTTTTAATATAACAATTTCAATCCCTTTAAAATCCAGAATGCAGTTTATGCAATCAAATCAATTCTAAAGTCTAAATAATCGAATGAAACGAGTGCAGTAGGCTGTTGTGATGGGTTTTAGTTTTTATAAAGTGTGCATCTGTTGAAGAAGGTACACTGTGTTTTATGCCCATCAAAAGTGGTTTAAGTGAGCATCGATACAGCAGCTACTGAAATTGCGACGTTTATTTCACCTTCCCAAATGAAACGGCTTATCGGTAGGAAGTGAAACCGTCTGTGTGTGGATGCCAAACAGCTGTCATCTTGATGAGGTGTCATGCAATTTTATTTTTGTGTAGTTTTAACTTCAAATATATATATTTTACTAACCCTTGCCTCTTATTTAGGCAGGAAATGCCTCTTTAAAGGAATAGTTTGGTTCTAAATGATCATGAATTGTAATTTTTACTCGCTTCACCCACAGTTGTTTCAAACTTGCATGACTTTTTTTTTTTTTTTTGCTGCACGCGAGATTTTAGTGAGTTTTAAAAACTATGTGAGCTGCTGTTTTTTTAACGCAACAAAATGAAGCGATATCTGTGGATATTAAAGTTAAGCTATGGCTTGAAAGCTTGGGATGTAGATTAATTTTGGAGCTTGGTAGTAAAAATCCGTTTTTGTTGTACAAGTCAACAGCTTTTTGCAAAAGACAACACGAGGGTGAGAGAACCATTACACAATTTTAATTTTTCGCCCAACGATTCCTTTAAAGCTGCAACACGTTTAGCCTCAGTACGTTTTAACCGAAGATTGTAGAGTGTTTGTTTTGTATTCGCAAGCAACTGTGGTAGCAGATGTCGTGGGTTCGTAGCACACTTATCGAGTTCGTTGCCTGGCGTGGCTTCCGTTATTCAGACGCGAAAGAGTCGATGCATTTTCTCCTCTCGTCTTTTATTTTAGAGCTTTTGGGAGGGTCTTCTTTTAGGGTCTAAAACGTAACACGAGTTCAAAGTTCATAGAAAGTGCCTTTCCTCATGATGGTGCTGAATAATCTGAGACTAAAATGAGAAATCAAAGAGCATATTAGTCTTACTCTTACCTTGAAGAAGGTGTTGCACACATGCAAACACACACACGTTTTTATCTCGATCGGGAGGCTCGTAACGGTGCCTCTTTGTATATTCAGATACTATAATGATGACGATATATGCCAAGTATAGGTTGAGATACTGTATTAGGAGTCCGGATTAATGCAGTGGAAGTGTTCATATAGGTGAATGTGCTATCTTTAGATTGGGTGCAGAGCGGACACTCATGACACAGCCTGACCCTGGACAGGAAAGCCTAGCACAGCACTTTAAAGACTGCCACCCAAACAAGGAAACAAAGTCACAGTGCTTTTCTCTCCTTTTTCTCCCCCCCCCATAAGCCCCTTTTTTCACGTACTCCAGCAAAAGACGGTCTCTAGTGCACTGAGGGAAGGTTAATCGCGTTTCGAAGGTTTACACATGGCCCCGGTGATGTCTTTTTTCGGACTTCACTATGGCTGCTTAAAAATGTTATTGTTTGTGTTGCAGTGGCTGATCGATCCCTCTTAATGTGCAATGGCCCGTAGAAACCTAGACACGTACAGTATGTGTTTTGACCCGCGTGGCCTGTATTTTGTCAGATGGAGGATATACCTCGACGAGAGATCTCAAAACACTGCACCTCACTTACCTTGGTATGCTGCATATGTTATAGTGAAAGAAACCGCAAATGGGTGAATCTCACCGAAGAACGCGTTCACGTTTCACACCAACATCACAAGACGCGTTAGATTTTGCATAATGAAAATTAAGCAGAAAATTTTATAAATTTTTTTTTTTTTTGCATTGTGACAATGAAAGGCATTCCCCTCCTCAAATTCTCATTATTGTAATGCAAAAAATATTATGTATTAATATTAGTTGCATTGCTTTCCATTTATGCACAATTGATCGTTTTTATAATACAGTAAATATAATTTCTCTCATCATTGGGAATTACAAAATAGCTCAAAACTTGGAGGAAAATGTAAATTGTTTTGTGAAAAAAAAAGGCTTAATTTTTCTCGTGCAAAATATAATTTCTAGTTGTACAACACGCCAACAAAACGACAGAAATTAGCTATTATATTTTGCATGAAGAAAATAAAGCCTGACTATTTTTATGACAATTTAACACATTCCCCACTCTCCAAATTCTCATTATTATAATGTGAAAAAATGATTCTAATATGAAAATGGATCTATATTTATACATCGCAATAGTACTGTATTTGTTGCATTGCTTTTCCTTCATGCTTATTAGTCAATATCATTCTATCACCATTGAAGATGATGAGAAGTACAACAACAAAAAACGTAATTCTCATAAAAGTAATGCAAATAATGGAATAATTGTATTGGTTTGTTAAAATAGGCTTAATTTTCGTCATGCAAAATGTAATTTCTAGTGTACTACGCCGACAACACAAGACAGAAATAAGTAATTCTATTTTGCATCAAGAAAACGATGCCTATTTTCGGACCATTATGTTCTCTATTTTATTTGTAGGCATTGTGACTGTATGATAATGCCAAAAAAGATTGGTTGCTAAAACGGGCTTCATTTTCCTCATGCAAAATATCGTTTCTTATTTGTTCTTTTGGATATGTTTTCTTGAGATTTGGCCAGATATTCGCTCCTTTGATTACAGTATAATGCTTGACAACAATATCCTTAACAATTTCAGATTAAGAAGTCCAATTGTAAGAGAGAGAAAAAAGTACATAACACGTATCTTTTTCTTTTATTGAGCCAACTTTTATTTTGTTGTCCTATTTAAATGTTTTTTTTTTTCTTTTAATATATTGGAAATATATGGGATATATTTAATGGTGTATTTATTGATGGAGTGCTTGCGCGGCTGGAGTCTCCGCAGAGTTACGGGGGGCGAGTTTGGGGGTCGAACGGATGCCCTCGACATCCTCTCACATACACACACACACACACACACAAGCAAGCACAACCACAGAGTGGGCTGAAGTGTTCGATGACGTCACTTCCTCCTTGACCTTTGACTACTTGTCTGTCGAGATGGTCCACCTCTCCAGCGAAGAGGCTCGTCGCATCGCATCTCATCTCGTTACGGGACGGAGAACCACACTGACTTTATTCCAAAAAGAAGAGATAAAAAGCTGATCGTTTTCATCCCGAGCTGCTAAACTCTTAGCCATACATGTTTTTTTTCCCCTGGAAGGATGTGTCCGGTGCTTTACAAATGGAGTCGAGAAGCAGATCATGGTATTTGTCCTTCGTCATTTGCTTGAGTTCAATTGTCTTCGTGCCAGAGAGGATCCCATTCCACACAGATATAATATATATAAATATATGAGCCTCAGCCTTAACTGTACTCTTTGTTTTTCCGATTGGACTCGAGACGTCTGTCAAAAGGCCTTGGTCATGCGTAGAGAAGCATACTAGCTAACTCCCTCTTTTAAACCACTAACTGTTGCAAGACGCTTGGAGATTCGGAGACGAGGCCGCTGTCTGTATTTCAAACGGTCATGTCGTCGTTTTCCAGGAGGACAGAGGCATCGAGCGCCGGACGAAGTTGCACCCAAATCGCCGACCGATTAAGAGTCGATTCCTAAAAATGTTTACAAAACGGTTTACTGCAACGCAACGCTCCAGCATTCCACAAACAGACTGTGAAGCATCCGATGCAAGCGCACGGCGAGTCTGTCCATCCTCCGTTTCTGTCGCTCACGTCTCGCGGTGGCTTCCATCTCGCTCGTCCATGCTTAACGAAAGAGCCAAAGTTGAGCCGTTGCGATCTCCGTGGCTCTGTCCTCCCATCTCTCTCTCTCTCTCTCTCTCTGTGTGTGTTCGCAAAGAGTCTCTCTAATGTACCAAGGGATGTTTCTTTTCCTTTGAAATGTCTTTCTTTGTTTAATAATACTCTTTGTAGATCATAAATGGCCTTTTAGTGTTGCTTTGCTTCAGTCTGGAGTGTATCTTTCACTAATACTTGCAATAAAAAGCTTTGCTTTTGAAACACAGACCTGGCGTTTATTGGCTCTTTCCGTTTCGTCCGTCGCACTGCTGATTGAATCACAGCATTGATTTTGTGTCATGGTTGGGATGTACAACCTCTTCTACATCTACAGAATGGGCCAAATGAAACTCTTAACAAGCATTTATTGATGTCCACTATTAATATTAAGACTTCAATGACAATTTTGCGTTTGTTTCTTCATGTTATTGAGTGTAAAATGTCTTCACTCCTGGCTGTCTGATCAAAGAATGGCTGTGTTCAGAATAGAGGACTAGCGCACTGCATACTGCACAGTACTCATACATTCCTTTTTTTTTTTTTTTAAGCAAACACCGCAACAAAAGTAAAAAAAAAACCCAAAAACAAATCATTACCTCACTTTGTGCAGGTCAAATTCAGTTTGTGTCGCCCAGTTATTTAACTGTTATTTTTTTTCTTAATATTCTATCCAATTTTGTATTCTGACATTTTATCTTTTGGCTGCATCAAATAATGAATCAATAATAATAATAATAATAATACATTCAAATAAAACTGCGAGGTCGGGTCAAGTGCATTGCATGGTGGAATACAGAGAATTTATTTGAGTAAATAATCAGTGCATATAATAAACCGTTTTCTATTAGTATTATTTATTTTACGTTTTTTTATATATATATTTTCTAAATTTTAATTTGTTACTTTCTTAAACTTTTTATTTTTATTAAATGTATATAATTTCTATTCAGCTTTGTTTTTATTTTAATTTGAGTAATTTTAGCACTTTAACTTGTTTTAAGTTTGTTGCCTATGCAGCATTTCTGAGTTTGGTTTCTAATTAGAATGTTTTTTTATTTTTCCATGTAATTTTATTGCAGCTATATTTGTAGTATAGAAATGTTTATATTTTTAGTTTGTCATTTTAGCACTTCATCTTATTGTATTGTTGAGTTAGTTGCCAAGCCACTATTTCTAATTTTAGTTTTTCACATTTTAATCTAATATTATTAATAATTTATTAAAAATCGATGAGATGAAATGATGCATAAATCACACAAGATACTGAGATATAGTCTGAACTTCAGCAGCAGATATTCAAATCCTGTTGCAGTTATGAGATACGGTATAAAGAAATGGCTTGTTCATTGTTAATTTATTTTGAAGTTTTTCTTAAACTTTTTATTTTTATTTTTATTAAATGTATATAATTTCTATTCAGCTTTGTTTTTATTTTAATTTGAGTAATTTTAGCACTTTAACTTGTTTTGAGTTTGTTGCCTATGCAGCATTTCTGAGTTTGGTTTCTAATTAGAATGTTTTTTTATTTTTCCATGTAATTTTATTGCAGCTATATTTGTAGTATAGAAATGTTTATATTTTTAGTTTTAGTCATTTTAGCACTTCATCTTATTGTATTGTTGAGTTAGTTGCCAAGCCACTATTTCTAATTTTAGTTTTTCACATTTTAATCTAATATTATTAATAATTTATTAAAAATCGATGAGATGAAATGATGCATAAATCACACAAGATACTGAGATATAGTCTGAACTTCAGCAGCAGATATTCAAATCCTGTTGCAGTTATGAGATACGGTATAAAGAAATGGCTTGTTCATTGTTAATTTATTTTGAAGTTTTTGTTTTAGTAATTTTATCACTTCAACTTGTATTTGAGTTTGTTGCCAAAGCAACATTTCTAAAAATGTACTCGAAGCCTTTCTATATAATGCATTATGAAAGTATTTTAAATGCATTCGATTTGTATTCGATATTATAAAATATGAGATGATGTATAAATCAATCAGTGATAGTCTGAACTTTAGCAGCAGATATTAAAATCCTGTCGCAGTGATGGATAAAGTGACCCAGAGACTTATGAAGAAGTGGGCGATTCATATTTCGCCAGTGTCCCTTTAAGGCCTGTAATATGTGCTGTGATGAATCACGACACTCTCTCATCTCATCTCATCTCATGAAAGCCACATCAGGCTGAACTTTCCATATCTGATTCTATACCGCTAATTAGCTGAATGCAAACTTTGGAAGCTCCATGGAAGAATATCAAAGCTAGATTAACGCTCCTCTGGGACTCTGACATTTAAGCTCTTGGTGTTGGCAATAAGCTATTGTGCGCTGAGAAAAGAGCGTGATGTGCTACAGCTTTCCATCTGAAGAAGATCAGCTATAGAGTAGTGACACGACGGATACAGGACAAGAACAAGAGCGGAGATAAAAGCGGATTATAAAGAGCAGGAATGAGTCAACTTGTATTTGAGTTTGTTGCCAAAGCAACATTTCTAAAAATGTACTCGAAGCCTTTCTATATAATGCATTATGAAAGTATTTTAAATGCATTCGATTTGTCTTGTAATGCACCTTTATAATGTAAGGTATGTAATGTATAATAGATGATCTCATGAATAACTGTAACCACATACTTATCTTTTCATTAACACATTTAGAAAGTATAATGCATTCAAACAAGACAAGCAACCAGTTTCAGATGCAGCAAGGAATCTGCACATATTATAATGCATTTTAACATCGGTTACAATTAATAATGAAAACACCATGCATGAATAACTTTATAGTGCATTATACTTAAGTTTTACTCGATTTGCATTTAGGTTGTCCAAGATTTTATTTGATTTTAGCAACCAAAATTATTTTTTACTAGTTTTAAGTTTTAAGACCAACACTGATAATAACAACAGCAAATCAAGCTATTATAAAATATGAGATGATGTATAAATCACTCAGTGATAGTCTGAACTTTAGCAGCAGATATTAAAATCCTGTCGCAGTGATGGATAAAGTGACCCAGAGACTTATGAAGAAGTGGGCGATTCATATTTCGCCAGTGTCCCTTTAAGGCCTGTAATATGTGCTGTGATGAATCACGACACTCTCTCATCTCATCTCATCTCATCGCACCTCATGAAAGCCACATCAGGCTGAACTTTCCATATCTGATTCTATACCGCTAATTAGCTGAATGCAAACTTTGGAAGCTCCATGGAAGAATATCAAAGCTAGATTAACGCTCCTCTGGGACTCTGACATTTAAGCTCTTGGTGTTGGCAATAAGCTATTGTGCGCTGAGAAAAGAGCGTGATGTGCTACAGCTTTCCATCTGAAGAAGATCAGCTATAGAGTAGTGACACGACGGATACAGGACAAGAACAAGAGCGGAGATAAAAGCGGATTATAAAGAGCAGGAATGAGGGAATGTTGGAGAACACTGATCGAAAATCGCCATTCTTTACACGTCTTCTCCATTTGTGAACATGCCGAATTTTGACTTCGTAATTATGGAATACAAAAGAGCTCATTATGCTAATGTCATGCTGATGGAGTTCAGACTGATTAGTGTCCATAAGAACTCACACACTTGTCATCTGTAAGGAAATATCAAGGTTAAAAGACTTGTGCATGAAGTCTAGTCCACATTACAGGTTCTTGTGGTCAAATCTGGCAACTTGGGGAGAGCGTCTAATGGACATAAAGTGAAAATCACTGTTATAGGCCTGTGAGATCTTTACGGGCTGATTTATTCATATTTTGAATTAGCCTTTTCCAGGTTTCATTTGAGATTTCTTTTTTTTTTAATGCTTTTCTAATTTTTCTAAAATATTTTTAAATCGAACAGTTATTTTATTTCAGATTTATGATATCCAAGATGAGATTATACATAAATACATTGCTAATTTATTTTTATTTCAGTTTTTGTTTTAGTAATTTTATCACTTCAACTTATTGTAACTGAGTTAGATGCCAGAGGAACATTTCTAACACTTCACTCAGCCTTTCTATATAATGCATTCACATTTTTCACAAATATTTTTATTTAGCCTTATTTTTGAATTTATATATGTGTGTGAATTTATGTCTAATTGAGGGTGGATTTATCTAAAATGTGTTTGTTTGTTGTATTTATTAATATTTTGAATTGGCTTTTTTATATTTTGAGTTTTCATTTTTATTTCTATTTAGTTTTAATTTAGTCTTGAATAAAATTAATTTTATTATTGTGGTCAAAACTGGAAACTTAAGAGTGGAATAGACGTCTAATTGACATAACGTGACCAGTCACTGTTATACGTGACATTTAGGGGCGGATTCATCTCAAATGTGGGACAAAATTGGGGGCAGAAAATTAAGAAATTGTTATGTGTAGACTCCTTGATCATGAGTTTTTCCATTTTTACATGGCTTCTTGCCAAATAAATTAAAGATTTGAGCAGATTATAAAAATAAATAAATAAATCACGAAAAATTTACTCAGCCAAATGTTAATTTATTGATATAGGACAATGGTCAATTAATAGTTTAGTGGCCATCATATTAATGTCAGAATGTCATAACTGACAAGTATTTCAGAAAGGATTGCATTAACTAAACCTCCTGATGATGCTAGTCTACCTTGGTTAAATAAATATGCATAACTATCTTTCCAGGAAGTCTAATAAAATAACAAAAGTCTAATACATTGATCAATAAAGTATCAAAAGGTGTGCTGAAAGCGTCCATCAGCTCTCGTCAGTAACGCAGTAAAAGTGTCCTGAGATCAGCTCACAGAGACTCATCATACGGCTCTCTCAGTCTCTCCCTTCGGTTATATCCACGCCTGTGTCTCCTGCAGTGCACAAAACAGGACATTTAGGAGAAAACGGGCTAGAATAAATCTAATGCATTTTCTCGTGCAATCAAGTGCAAAAAATGTTAAATGTGTAGTTTATGATTAGTTCATGGAACCGTAAACGGCCTGCAGTAAAATGAACTGTTTTGCCTGACGGCAGAATTGTTTTTTTTCAATTATTAACTTTAATATATGTAACTATTTTAGCTTATTGGATATTGCATGTATCATATTGCTGTTGCGTCCATTTGAAGTCACTGGAGGGCATGCATTAGTGATTTCACTACAGTCATGTTGTGTGATCTAAGAAGATGGGTTAATCACGCACTGAACCCGTTTAGACGTCAGTAACTAGAACGAAACGTTCACACAAGATCTCCACCCATCGCGTGGGTGTGACAGGAATCCTTCAGGCTCAAAACTATTTACATTCCATTCATTGCATAACATTGAGTAGCAAGGGTGTAAAAAAACATGCTTTTTAACAATAATTTTCTAATGGGATTTGTATGTGTTTTTGTTTATTTCCTTCTTTTTTTTCTTTTTGTTTTTAAAACGGTACTGCCTTAATAGTTTGATATTTTGCACTGCTTAACAATAATAAAAAAAGAAATCAGAAAAAAGATTTGCGAACCCACTCTGAAGCTCTGATCTGAATCAAAGGATTCACGAACCCGCTTCGAATTGCCGATCTAAATCAAATGATTCACGATTCGCGCTCCGTAGTCCCGATCTGAATAAAGATTCGCGAACCATCCTTTCAGATCGGGACTTGACCATTCACGATGCATGATTTGAAGTCCTGATCTGAATCAAATGATACACGATCCGATTGGAGTGCTTCGAAACAGTGAATCATTTTGTGATGCAATTGTTTAACTGATTTGGATTTTTGAAAAGCTCCATATCGCCCATCACTACGTTCTTTTTAAATCATTACAAGCAACGTTGAAATTCTTTCAACCTTTTTTTATTTATTTATTTGCTTGTGAATCGCTTGAACTGAATGATTCAAATCACAAGTTTGAGTCAAGCAGAGTGGTTCCAGAGTAAATGACTCTCAATTGAATTGGTTTGTTAATTCCTCTGCTTTTCGTGCTTCAGTCATGTTTACATGACACTGTCAGTACTACTGCTGGCTTAGCTCGCTAGTTTTTTTTACATTAACTGAAATACATTTTAAAAGTATGATGTTTAGATAACACCCAACACAAATCTAGGAACACATTCAGGTGAGGTAACCTGTTTACTGATGAAACTAGTGAAAACACTATTAATATGACGAGCTGCAGCTCAAAATACATGTTAGATGGAAACATTGATCATTATGATGGAGTTTGTAGCTTAATTCACTATATTTGAAATAGTTTGAGCACTGCAGTTCAATGTTGGTGACAGTTCAAGAGGAAATCAGTCGAAAGCATCCAGTCATCTCATACCACTGAAGTGAATGTTCAATTTATCAGTATATTGTAATAAATATTTGAGAAATTATTTGATTGTATTGGGCTATAGAGTGATAGAAAATAGGATAATAGTGTAAAAAGAGCAAATGGGAGAAGCAAATGAACACAAAACAGCAGAACAACAACGCAATATCATGAAAGTGCGTATAAATAGTACACCAAATAAAAACTAAAACTCGTGGCATTGATACACAAAAATTGATTTTGGTGTGTGTACGCAATGGGTAGGATTAGGGTTGTCATACGTACTTGAAAACTGCGTATCATATGCACGCCAACAAATTTCCTATCGTATGCACGCCAAAAACGTGTGTATCATATGCATGCCAAAGTCAATTTTTGCGCATCAATACCACGAGTTTTTGTTTTTATTTGGCGTACCATTTACACGCATTTTCATGAGACCGGGCTCTAAAATTAACGAGGGTAAACTTTATCACTTAACTGGTTATTTTTACATTTGCAATAAAGCATTTACAGTGTAAACAGAACATCAATTTAAATCAAATATTAAAAGTTATCCTTGCTTTAGGTAGATACCAAGACTCACCATTATTTCTCATTTTCATTTAGTTTAACGTGATGCACTTAACTAAAATCAGGGTTATTATAGTTAACTAAAACTAAAAACATTAATTGCTTGGAATAAAAAAAATGAAATCAAATTTTAAAAAAATTAAGATTTTTTTAGGTAGTTGCAACATTTCTTATTTTCATTTAGCTTAACTTGATATTCTAAAATAACTAAAACTGAAATAAAGATTAATGGTAACAATTTACAGTAAGGTTCCATTTGTTAGCTATATTTAATGCATTAACTAACATTAACAATGAGTAATACATTTGTTACAGTATTTATTACTCTGTTAACGTTAGTTAAAGTGCCCCTATAATGGATTTTTGAAAATGACCTTTCATGCAGTGTGTAACACAGCTCTAAGTGAATGAATACATCCTGCAAAGTTTTAAATCTGAAAGTGCACCGTGTATGAAGTTATTGTCTCTCAAAAGAAAGAGTCGACTCTGAATCATTGAAACGAGTCGTTTTTAAAACGAATCACAAGCCGTTTCATGTTGACGTCAACATGAAACATTAGCATAATGCCCGCCCACTTGTTGGTCTTTTCGCTTTGGTCTGAATGAAAATGCAAATTCATTCTTTGCCACTAGGTGTCGCTTTTGGAGCGGTAAAAATAGCGGTTTCCCCGGTAACGGCTGTACACAAAGCGTTCACAAACGCTGCTTTATCAGGCATTACACACTCTTAAAAATAAAGGTGCTTCAAAAGGTTCTTCAAGCGATGCCATAGAAGAACCATTTTAAGGTAAAAATAAATGCATATTATAAGACAATGAAAGTGTTTTTTGACCTTGCATGCATGTCCACCTGTTGTTGGGGACTCCCAAAACCAAAATATGAACCTTTCATTACCCATAATAGGGGCACTTTAATAAAATACAACTGTTCATTGTTAGTCCATGTTAGCTCAAGTTCATTAACTAACATTAATAGAATCAACCTTAACTAAGATTAATAAATGCTTTAGAATTTTTTTCTTTGTTAGTTTATCAAATGTAGTTAACAAAGGGAATCTTATTGTAAAGTGTTACCAAATTAATAAAAACTATATAGACATATAAAAAAGGAAAAAAATGACAAAACATACACAAATTCTAATAAAAAAAAATAGGGACTTGTGTTTAAACGCACCTCCACAGTATAAAGGCCAGAGATGCGGCTGCAAGCGTCAGTATCAGCAGCAGAAACACAACGACAGCAGTCGTGCTCCTGTTTGTGCTTTCACACGCCTCTGAAACACACACACACACACGCTGTCACTGAACCTCTCAGGTCATTCATACTCTAAGCCTCAGGAAAAGTAATGTTCCTGTCCTTCATGACGCAGTGATGGCGTGAGAGCTGTACCTGCGGTGTATGTGGCTGAACTGTGTCCCAGTTTGTTGCTCACCACACAGGTGAAGTGTCCGCAGAAGGTACCGGAGACGTACAGAGACGTCCCATCTGCCGAAACACGACCCACTTTCTCCGTTACAACCACTTGCTCATGCAGCCAAGTGAATGTGGGTTCAGTTCCCCACGCCTCCATACAGTGAAGAACCGAGTGAGACACATTCACCATCACCGACACGTGATGCACCGCCACTGACACACACACACACAGAGAGAGAGAGCTCAATTACTGGAGAAATGCACAAGGACACAAATGGGTCACTGCTATTATGGAGTGAATTTTTCTCACATTTATTTGAAATAATTTATATTAATATTGACTTGGTCTGTACGAATGCATAAGTGTATAAAAGCTAAAATAGCTGTCGGTGTAACAAAAGTGAATTTTAAATCATTTCAGTACTTTGGTACACTTATGTGTTTCACAACATGACATCATCCTCCAGGAAGTGACATCATTTTGGAAGGAAAGCGACAGCATAGACATCAAGTAAGTAATAGAATGTATTATCAAGGATTTCAATTATCCGATGAATTCTGTGATGTTATTTGGTTTGTGTCTCTGTAAAACATTTATCCTGTTTGATTAAATCACACAAATCGGTTCAAAAGATGGTTCAAAATAATTAACTTATAGATGACATCCTCATGTAATCTAACTGAAAATGCTTGTGATGCTGTTTAAGTATTGCTATAAAAGTGTACTTTTTATAAATCTTTTTATGATTTTTAAACTTTAATCTTAATTTTTGTTTTAACACTACAGCACAAATGGGTGTCAGATGTGTTCTTTTTGTATGTTTTGCATGAAATTATCTTTTCTTCATGAGAACTATTTGTTGTCACATTTTGTTTGCAATATTTCTCATTAAAATGAAGTTTGTATGAAAAGTGAAGGTTTTCAGATGTGCATTCTAGGGTTAAAAATGGTATAAAAACCAAAATAGCACACCTGAGACTGTATGATCTACAAAACACTACAAAGAGTAGATGAAGATGAGTTTGTTTCTTCGTGGTAACAGATTTGGAGAAATGTAGCACTGCATCACTTGCTCATCAATGAATCCTCTGCAGTGAATGGGTGCCGTCAGAATGAATCCACACCCCTCCAGTCCATCAGTTAATGTCTTGAGAAGCCAAAAGCTGCATGTTTGTAAAAAAACATGTTTTTAACTTCAATCTGAGGCTTCTGGTCAAGATACGAGTCCATAATAACGCTTCCTCCAGTGAAAAAGTCCATCCCCTGTTGTCTCTCACATCAAAAATCACCAACATATTTGTTTAGAACCTTTTGGCTTGTAAACGGTGTTTGATCTGTGCAGATTTCTCTCCTGATTCAGACAAGATTACATTTTTCACTGGAGGAAACAGTATTATGGATTTTGGACTCTATTTATTTATTATCTATTTAGTATTTTAGCAGGAAGCGATGGTTTTAAGTTAAAACATCTTGATGGATTTGTTTCCTACAAACACGCAGCTTTATGCTTCATAAGTATATTGATGGACTGGAGTGGTGTGGATTATTGTGATGTTTTTATCAGATGTTTGGACTCTCATTCTGACGGCACCCATTCACTGCAGAGGATCCATTGGTGAACAAGTGATATAATGCTACATTTCACCAAATCTAATGAAGAACCAAGCTCATCTACATCTTGGATGGCCTGAGGGTGAGTAAATATTCAGGACATTTTTGGGTGAACTTTTCCTTTAAGTGCAGAAATTTTTGGAGAAGAACAATAGCAGAACGTTTGAGAAATATCAGTACAGTGCATGTGAAATGAATTCAAGGCTTTAGTTGATCTTACGATACTCTTGAACGGTTCGCTGTGCAGATAGTCTCTGTCCTGACTGGTCTGGAACTGTGACCGTGTAGACGCCGGCGTCTGCTGCTTGATAATCTCTGATCTTCAGTGTGGCTCCCTGTTGTTCCAGTGTTACTATCCCATCTGAGACTTTATGAGGAAACTCAGCCAATGCTGAACTCGTCCCAGAAGTCTTTGCAATTTGGTCCAATGTCTCTTTAACAACATGTTCACCATCCAGCAGCTCGATTTGTGCCTGTGGGATCAGATTCTGGCCTTTGATTACATACAGCAACTGCTGGTTTGTGAAGGGGACGGACAAACACTGGCCACTCCAGAGCCCTGCCATAACAAAATACATCATAAAACAGAGTCATATCTTGAATTCTGATTGCATGTGCTTGATGCAAAAGCATTTAACTGTTAAATCACAATCACATGGCTTTGAGTTGCTTTTATAAACCTGTCAACGGCAATATGAAACAACATTCAATAAAAGTTTTTAATATAATAATTATTGAAATAATATAGTTAATTTATCTAACTGCAGACTGTTCATGATTGCAAAGAAATGTAAATGTTAAAAAAGGAAATCTTTATTTAATTAATTAACAAACAAAAAACGAGACATTTCTTATTATCAATGTTGAAAACAGTTGTGCTGCTTCATATTTTGTGGAAATCGCAATATACTTTGAGGGACCTTTAAATAAAGTACAAAATAACTAAATAGTTAATTTATCTAACTGCAGACTGTTCATGATTGCAAAGAAATGTAAATGTTAAAAAAGGAAATCTTTATTTAATTATTTACATAAAAACAACAACAAAAACAAACAAAAAACGAGACATTTCTTATTATCAATGTTGAAAACAGTTGTGCTGCTTCATATTTTGTGGAAATCGCAATATACTTTGAGGGACCTTTAAATAAAGTACAAAATAACTAAATTCATTAGAAATATAAAAAGAAAATAAAACTATTCAACATTCAATAAATGTTAAATTTTTTATATAACAATTATTCAAATAATATAGCTCATTAATCTAATTGTAGACGGTTTATGATTGCTGATAAATGTAAAAAAAAAAAAAGTAAAAGTATTATTATTAAATTATATATAAAGCTGTACTGTGTATTTATTATTGTTGTTTTTTCTGGTTTCTTTAATGAATCGAAAGTTCAAAAGAACAAATATTGTAGCTATTATTTAAATAATAAAGTTGATTAATTAATGTAACAAGTTCTATCTAATATCTAAATGTTAAAAAAAAGAAAGAGTTATTTATCAATAAATACTATTTTATATAATTAATAGTAATAATCATTTATATTTTTGTGGAAACCGTGATTAAATGCATTTATTTGAAGTAGAAATAAATAAATAAAAACACCAATGTTTAATGAAAGTTACATTTTTAATTAAACAATATAGTTAATTCAACGGTAGACTGTTTATGCTTGCCAAGAAATATAAATGTTAAAAAAAACAATAATTATTCGAATGTAATCTAAATATCGGAGGCATTATGTACATTTGTCATTTGCTGTGCAAGAATCATTTCTATTATAAGTTTTGAATAAAGCTGTGCTGCTTAATATTTTTGTGGAAACAGTGATACATATCTCTGGATTCGTTGATGAATATAATGTTCAAAAGAACAGCATTCAACTAAGAAATAAAACTAAAAATACACTTTGGCTGCAGAATACTGCAAGTGGCCAATCAGAATCAAGTATTCCAGAGAGGCATGAAACACAATCCACATAAACATACAAAGACAGAGCAGAATAACTCACAGCAGACGTGCAGAAGCAGGACAGTCCTGATGAATCGCTGTAGTCGTAGTTCCATGTCACCTAGAACAAACAGCTGCAAGACTGATATTCCTCATACATTACATACGACCAAAGTTCAGAAACATTCACTTTATGAGTCAGATTACTGGACGCTTTTCATAACTCACCTCTCATAACTTCCTGAAAGAGACTCTTGTATCCAGAAACTCTTGTCCCATAAAAGCACTAGAGCGAAGCTCCCACAGTAAACATGCTGTTTGTGTCTCTGCAGGGCTGCTGTATTCTGTGAACTCCTGTGCTCAGTTCACCGAGTTAAAGGTCTTTAGGCGTCACCGTGTTTGCAAACTGAGCCATTTCCTTTTTCCCTTTCCTGTGGAGTAAAGCTACTATTCTCTGTTCAAACAAAGCAGATCTTCCATCCAGTAAAACCCTCCCGTCACACTCCACGCTCAAGATCTGTTTGGACTCTTTTATTCTCTGAACAAACTTAAACATCAGTGCTTACAAATGCTCCAAAAGCAGATTAATAAGAACAAATGAGGTAGAGAGCAAATGAATAGCACTTATATTCATTTTTTGTAAACAAAACAGCGTATATCTTAAATATCCATAGGAGCCATTTTAACAACTCACATTTCTAAAGTTTCAGAACACAAGAACATTCTTTTGACATAAAACAAGAACTTTATCAAATCTACCAAACGGAAAAACGGCAGAGAAACCGCTAATAAAGTTTAGATAGTAAGAAAACATGCTACCCTGAGAACATTTAAACCTGGAAGCTGAAAACTTTGAGAGTCACATATATGCAGGAACAGCATTTCTGCAATTCTAATAAAAGTTCACCATTAAAAGTCATAAAAAAGAGAAAAAAGCATATGATGTAAAATAGAACAGAAGTCAAATAAATTAAACCAAAATTGTTACAATAAAAAAAATCAAATGTTGTCTGTGAGTGTACAGTATTGGCTAAAGGATGGCATTGTTCTTGCATTTCTTCATGACAATGAACCTGTAAAAAAAAAGTTTGTCAAAAGACTAAGATTGGGGGATATAGCCTAAATATTAATAACCTGTACTGTTCCCAAATTGGTACATGTGAATAGTTTGGCATATTGAAAATGTTTAATAACTTTTGCTCGTCAACATCAAACAATTTGGGGAAGATTTGATGAAAGTTTACAAAGTATATTTTGACAAAACTCACAAAAAATATCAGAGGTAAAATAAAATAGGCAGAAGAAGAATTAGAAAAACTAATTATTATTATTATTTTTGACAGGACTATTCTACTGCCCGCTATCAAAAAGTGCATATTTGCATAGATGAGCTAGTTATGATTAATCAACAAAGGCTTATCTCATGAATATGAATTAGGTTGTGCACAGATTTTTGCAAAAGTTTTGATGAATTTGAGGAAGTTTTTGATGAAAAGCCTTTGAATTTTTTTAAAATTGTCAACACTTTACAATAATATTCCATTTGTTAATTACATAAATTAAGATTAACTATCAATGAAAAAACTATTTATTAATCTTAGTTAATTTCAACATTTACTACTGTTTTAGTTAAACAAACATTATTGTTGGATCATTTTGGCAATATCCACTTAAATGAGAGAAAGAAAACCAGCAAAGAAAAAGAAAAGAATATTTGCAAAGTTATTATACCCTGTGTGAACAAAGCCAGCAGATTTTAGTCCAATTCAATAATATATCATGATCCTCTCCAGGTCAAAATGACCAGAACACAACATGAGCGTTAAAATGAAAAGTTATTTGTTAATATTAATTACAGTAATGGACCTGAACTAAAAAAATATACTAAAAATTAACCGTTTTATTATTAGTAACGCATTACAAGTACGTAATCAGATTACTTTTTTCAAGTAACTAGTAAAGTAATGCATTACTTTTTAATTTACAAGAAAATATCAGAGGTTTGTTTGATCTGTGCCCTCTACAGATGTGAATTTACATTTCCTTCAGCATGAGGCTTATGCATTTCACTTTTGGTATGAAAGGGGTTTTACATTTGCCAAAAAAAAAAAAAAAGTTAAATTAAAAACAAACAAGCAAGCCCAGCACAAATGAGACAAAGTAACAATTATTTAATTTACACAAAAGTAACATAATTAGTCACTTTTTCAGAGAGTAATGCAATATTGTAATGCATTACTTTTAAAAGTAAATTTCCCCAACACGGTTATTAATTCATTTTAACAAACATTAATAAACTGTTGTTAGTTAATTTTGGTTAATGTATTAACTTATGTTACCTAATGGGACATTTTTGTAAAGTGTTTCAAAGTTTTTTTTTTCCTCTTGATGTTTTTCCGCATGGTGTGGGGAAGGGGAAGGGGAAGGGGCCTAGTGGTTAGAGAGTCGGACTCGTAACCCAAAGGTTGTCTCTTAACGGCAGGGATTGTAGGTGGGAGGAGTGAATGTACAGCGCTCTCTCCCACCTTCAATACCACGACTGAGGTGCCCTTGAGCAAGGCACCGAACCCCCAACTGCTCCCTGGAGGCATAAATGGCTGCCCACTGCTCCGGGTGTGTGTTCACTGCTGTGTGTGTGCACTTTGGATGGGTTAAATGCAGAGCACTGATTCCAAGTATGGGTCACCATACCTGGCCACATGTCACGTCATGAAAATTTTTAAAATGCCATGCGTTCTTGGCATTGAGCAATACCTTCTGGTATTTGATAATGTGTAGTCACTGTCCCCAGGCTGCTCTTGATGATGCAGGTGAAGTTAACGCCCTTAATCTCAGAAATGTCTAGTCTACTGCCGTCTGCTAACAGGGCGGTTTGATTGGTTACTGTAACGCCATCAACCAGCCATGAAAACTGAGGACTGTCCCACTGCGTCATGCCATGATTATCCACAACACATTCCAGCACACGCGCAATTGACGCCTTTAGAGGTTCCACTGAAAAGAAAAGAAAAAGTACGTAAGAAAAGAAGAAAACATCCTGTTCAACTAGTTTTTTTTGTTTTGCACGACAGGCTGCCTTTAAATGTAAATAGCTGTGCATGTGAAGAAAATATTCAAAACAGCTAGTGCACAGGTCAGTCGTAAAGTAACATTTGCATAGTTACATGTAACCAATTTACCTATTTTTCGCACTTCTATTGAGTCGTGCTGCTGGTATCCGTTACTGTCTGTAACGGTGACCTTGTAGATCGCAAAGTCCCCTTCTGCAACATCAGTGACCCGCAGAAGTGCATCTTCCTTCTCCAAAGCTATTCTGTTTCCATGTGACAGTCTGACATTGTCCCCTGCTCTCTTGCGGTCCCACGTCACCATGTCTATCTTGTCATCTGGATCCTTCTCAAATATGGCTTCCAAAACAAGAGTTTGGCCGAGTGCAACATTCAGAAGCCGTCCGGTTTTAAAACGGACCGATATTGCTCCATGAAGACACACAGGCACTGATGAAAGTTATTGAAAAGAATTAGTATGTTTTTAGTAACTAAGGCTTGAGGGAGAATCCAGCTGAACAACTGACTGGTAACTTTTTGTTTTATGTTTCCACTTTTAATGAAAAACGGATGTAATTTTTATGTGATTTGGAGTAGTTTTAGGAGGTAAAACTTTAACAATCTTAAAGTACAAGCATGAAAACCCCTTATTTATTTTCTGTTGTGCTGATATTTCTAATTATCTCTGAATGATAGGATTTTGTCACTTCAAAAGGACTGAATATTGGTGAAAAAAATAGTATTGTTTTTTTTATGTAACATGTAAAATATATTTTAGAAAATGCAATATAATATTTAAATAGCATTTGGCTTTACATAGTTTTCTGTACTGATATAATTTCCATACTTTTACTTTAATTAATGCTTTAATATTTTACTTTATTTTAATATATATATATATTGTTTTGTGTAAATCTATCGGGGACGTAAACGAGATCATGTTTATTTAGAAATTATTTTATTTTCTAAATAGAGCTTCCGATTAGAATGATTTTCAATGAATTTATAGAATTACAAAACTGATTTTGTCACTCCAAAGGACTCAACTTTGATTTTTTTCTATTCACAAGTCATTTTTGAAAATGCCTTCCAATATTTAAACAGCATTGTTTATTTATACTCTCTCAGAAACAAAGGTACAAAAGCTGTTACTGGGACAGTACCTTTCCAAAACGTACACATTTGTACCTAAAGGGTCCATTTTGGTACCTTAAAGTGTACATATTAGTAAGTTAAGTGTACATATTAGTAAATATTAGTAAGTTAAGTGTACATATTAGTAAATATTAGTAAGTTAAGTGTACATATTAGTAAATATTAGTAAGTAAAGTGTACATTAGTAAATATTAGTAACTGATTTTGTCACTCCAAAGGACTCAACTTTGATTTTTTTCTATTCACAAGTCATTTTTGAAAATGCCTTCCAATATTTAAACAGCATTGTTTATTTATACTCTCTCAGAAACAAAGGTACAAAAGCTGTTACTGGGACAGTACCTTTTCAAAACGTACACATTTGTACCTAAAGGGTCCATTTTGGTACCTTAAAGTGTACATATTAGTAAGTAAAGTGTACATATTAGTAAATATTAGTAAGTAAAGTGTACATTAGTAAATATTAGTAAAATTTACATATTAGTAAATATTAGTAAGTAAAGTGTACATATTAGTAAATATTAGTAAGTAAAGTGTACATATTAGTAAGTAAAGTGTACATATTAGTAAATAAAGTGTACATATTAATAAATAAAGTGTACATTAGTAAATATTAGTAAGTAAAGTGTACATATTAGTAAATAAAGTGTACATTAGTAAATATTAGTAAGTAAAGTGTACATATTAGTAAATAAAGTGTAAGTTAAGTGTACATATTAGTAAATAAAGTGTACATATTAGTAAATATTAGTAAATAAAGTGTACATATTAGTAAATATTAGTAAGTTAAGTGTACATATTAGAACCTAAGGTACAAAAGTGTATCTTTTGAAAAGGTACCACCCCAGTGACAGCTTTTGTACCTTTGTTTCTGAGAGAGTATTTTTTGTATAGAAATAATTCCCATGTTTGCTTGAAGAATTTTAATAGACTTCTGTTTTAGTTTTTTTGGTGGACAAAGCAAGTGTTCTTCTGCTGCCCAGCAAAATGAGAAAAAAACAAAACAGCGCTTAGACTCGTCTTTGAAGTAATATTACACGACATGTCGAACTGCCAAAGCAGCTTTTATATAGTTTAACTAGTATTTCATAACAGCAGACTCACTCAGAGTGACTGTGGTACACAGAATCCAAACCAGCATCCATGACCCCATCACACCTGACAAATCAGACATCATTAAAGAGACTATTTCTGATCAATTCACTCACTCGAACAACTGACTGGATGCACTTTTGTGACGTACGTTAATAAATGCCCTTTCAGGTCGAAATAAACTGTCTTACCTTGACTTTCAAAGCTTGAATCCCGTGTTTACTCTCTGTCCTATCGCATTAAGTTCAGGTAAATAATAACCGTCCATCGTCTGACTTCACCTGAACTAACGCCTGCGTGACGTAACGTGACGTAACGTGACGTCTGTCTGATGATACAGACTTTAAAATGGAGGCGGCTTTTATTATTAGCATTATTATTGTTTTTTTTAAATTTTTTTTTTTTTATTGCAGTAAACAACAAGGATTACAGTACGTACAAAACAAACAGTAAAAAACAATACGTACAAAATATTACAAAATACCAATCAATAATAAACGTCTTGAAGATTAATAGATAAAACATCACAGAAAAAACTACATAACATAACAATTCTTAAGAAAAGGACAGAAGAAAAATAAAACAAAATGGAGGAGGCTTTTATGATCTCCAGGAGATACTGTGTCATCAGTAAGATTCGCGAGGTTTCATTTAAAAATTATTAATTGTATGTATCCAGTAAATGAGGTTATTAAAAGATTTAAGAAGGATATTGTACTAAATTATTCTGGTGTGATTTTAAGAGGTTTCGGGAATTGACATTACTTTAGAAGATAAGAATGTTTTATTTTATTATGATAAGCCTTTAGAGAAGAAATTATGTTTTGTTCTTAATTAGTTTATTGTATTAGGGAAATATCACATTCATAAATGTCGATGGTCAAAGAGTACACCTAGTTTTTTACTATTTAAATTTGAGCTCTGTCAGTATCTTAAAGTGATGGAAGGTGTAAGGAACTCCAAAGCAAAAAAGACTATAAATTGTTGTAAAGTCTTGAAACTTTATCCTTTTTAAGAACCTTTGCACTTATTTTGTAGTTAGAGATATGGGTTTGTTCTCAATAACCCTCTGTATATAGTTCTTTTTTTTATTATTATTTTTTTATTCTTCCTTAATTTGCATTGTTTTGTTTTTTTACAATCATTGTCTTTTTGAATTTATTGACATTTGTGCTTTTATTGTCAATTTGTTTGTGAATTTTCACTAAATAAAGCAAAAAAAACCCCAAAACGGTCCGTGTCACTAGTTTAAAAAATAAAAATAAATAAATAAAAATGCAGACTTTAAAATATTTTAATTTATGATTTCCTGCATCAAAGTAGTTTCGATTTTAATGGTTAGTATACTAGAAAAAAATATTGTAGTAATAAGAAAGTAATAATGTATTGTTAACGAGGAAGTAGCAAACAAATCACTCAAAATTTCATTTTGGAATATATAAAAGTTCATTTTAGAATATGTTGGAATACGTACAAATTCAAAATATAAAGAGACGTTTACAATCGGTTTATTTAATGCTATTAACAAATTTCTAATAAAAATATTTTCTTCCAGCGATGATTGACAAGCTCGAATCTGCTGAAGAGAACGAAGTGGGCGTGGTCAGGCGGTTTGGCCACGCCCTCTGACAGGACGTAAACATTAGACCTCAGGCGAGATTTGTATTCATTAACAGGCTACATTAAGTAACTTGTTTGTACAAGCAGCGATCGTGTTTATTTCTACATTAAACGTTTTCTACATTAGCAAAAGACATTATTTCGTTCTTTCTCAGTTGTTGTGGTGGTGAGGTGAGGCGAGACAGGTAAAGCAGGAAGTGAAAGCAAACCAAAGTAGGACACAAAAATGAAAGTGTATATAACAGCTTTAATTTCTCTTTTTAATACGGTCTGATTAATTAAAACTTTTGTAGGCTCTATAGTTGTGTGTGCACTGTAGGCTAAGTGTAGTAGCCTCTTGTTAATATGCGCTCTCACATCAGATAGTGATTGATGTTAGTAGCTCTTTTATTTTGACAGAATGTCTCTTATTATTATGATTTATATGCTTTAATGTGTGCTGGAATTAAACATCTGGAAACTAATTAAATGTTTTGCTCAGGCCCTCCAGACTGACATGAACACTGCTGCATGCTGTTGTGGTTTTCTCACAGACAAGTAAGCTGAATATGACAAGTTAATCTAATTAAACATTTTGTACCTGACAGACTAGTTTTATGTGCATGCAAAATGCTAAACATCTTAAACACTTTTTCTGAATGTATTATTATATGGCAAGAAATGTAAGAAAAATACGTCTTTAAGATGAAAAAGCAAACATCGAATAGACGTCTACACGATGCATGTGTTATCAGGATACTTTCTTCCTAAATATAAAACTTAAGCCTGAACAAATGCAGCATGCAATATATAACTGATGCAAAAATAATAATTTTGACCCTTTTGTGTAAACTAGAGGTATTAGTACAAATTCCATTTTCATAAAACAAAAAAAACTAATAATATGAAAACAATTAGGTTATATAATGACCAACACCTTACTGTGTTCAAAACACTTGCCGAATAATAAAAAAAAAAACACAGAGAGATGCAAGACATAATGTAAAGGTTAAGGGTGTAGACAGTAGACACAGCATTCCTGTTTAGTTTGAAGTGCTATTTCAAGCTCTTTTATGCGCATGTCTCTTCATGCTACACCCATGTGTATACAACATTCATTTCTCTCATTCAGATGCATTCACATTTAAGCTTTATTTCTTTGTGTTTGTATTGTGTGGTTTTAAGTGGGCTTTCAATTTACTGCGTAAGTCACTGAGCAGATACAATGAAGAAAAGATGCAGCATTTGAATAGCATCAAACAGCACTTGCTTTGATATTTTTGTTGCTCTTATCTAATGCAAATACATTTTGAAATATGATGGAACTCCACAAATAGCTGAAGCAGCTTTCGCTTTCTTTACATGCAACTCTCCATAGGTTTGCCTTTGGCCATTGTGTGTCTGGATCCCGTTCCAGTTCAGTTCAAGAAGACACCGGTGTTGGTGGCATCAGGGAAAGATGCCGTCTTCACAGTACAGACGGTGTCTGATGTGTCCCTCATCAGATGGAGCAACTGCGCTGGCCATGTGGGGAGCCCTGACGTAATGTCCGTCCCGCAGTACCAGGGCAGGATCTCTGTTACCGCCACTCAGCTCAAAATCACCAACAGCCAGATTCGCGATTCTGGAAACTACAGCGTCTCGGTCGAACCCTCGTCGACTTGCACCTCTGGACTCGGTGTGAACACCCGTTCAGTGCAGCTCAAGGTGTTTGGTACAATCAAACGATGCTGCATATTCAGTGTTGGGAAGGTTACTTTGGAAATGTATTAGGTTACAGATTACAAGTTACCCTGTCTAAAATGTAATAAGTAGTGTAACTATTTCAATTACTTTACTAAAGTGATTACATTGGATTACTTTTATAAATTCCTAATGTTTTCAAATGTTTTAATCATTTTCAAACTTGTAAACCAGGCAGGGTTAACCTTACAGTACTCAACACTGATTAGTGTCATTTTCAAAATCCTTCATCACTTGAATTAAGATTATAATAATTTAATTTTAAAGCACAGCTACCACAAAATAAGACTTACTTTGAGATCATTCTGAGGTTAAATACAGATTTAAAACCATAACAAGAAATTATATTATAGGTTTATGATCTTTATTATTATTATTATTTTATTTTAGTTCGTTTTAGTAATTTTGTTGTGTAATTTATTTATTTAAATATGTCTATATTGTTTTCATTGTTTTACATTTCATTATTAGTTTTAGATATTTCAGTCAACTAAAAAATATTTTTAGGTAAACTAAATTAAAATATGAAATGTTGCCTTGGCATCTAACGGCAAATAAAATAACTTTTTTATTTATTTTTATTTTTTTTAAGTATTTTATTTCAGTTAAAGTTGTTTTTGGATTTAGCTTTAGTCTTTGTTAGCTATAATAACCCTGATTTGTATGGACTTTCCAAAAAACATCTACTGTATGTGTCAAAACTTTGCATGCACATTCATGACTCTAAATGTAAATTATTCACAAAATGTCAAAAAAATAAATAGTTTAGCCAGTGTTTCAAGCAGTAAGAAAATCGACTGACCCCAACACAACAGGAGGGTTAAAGGGTTAGTTCACCCAAACGTTCTGTCATTAATTACTCATTCTCAGTCGTTCCAAACCCGTAAGACCTTCGTTCATCTTCAGAACACAAATTAAGATATTTTTGATGGAATCTTGAGAGTTGTCTGACCCTTCATAGACCCCAAGGGTCCTTACACGATCAAGGCAGAAACATAGCAAGGAGATCGGTAAAATAATCCATGTGACATCAAGGGGTTTAACCGTAATTTTACGAAGCTACGAGAATACTTTTTGTGCGCAAAAGAAAACAAAAATAACGACTTTACTCAAAAATTTGTCTCCTCCGCAACACCCTAGCACCATTTTGGAGAGTATCCACTGAACGTATGCTATTCTGTGTCAGCTGCACCACACAGATACGTTGTTTTCGTTCAGATCAAAGTGCAAACAATGTAGACAAGGTATCCGCATGACGCAGCTGACACAGAACAGCATACGCCGTTTACGGTCAGCGGATATTCTCCAAAATGGCGCTAAGGTGACGCAGAGGAGACGAATTGTTGAGTAACATCGTGTTTTTGTCTTTTGCGCACAAAAATATTCTCGTAGCTTCGTAAAATTACGGTTAAACCCCTTGATGTCACATGGATTATTTTACCGATCTCCTTGCTATGTTTCTGCCTTGATCATGGTAGTACCCTTGCTGTCTATGGGAGGGTCAGAGAGCTCTCAGGCTCCATCAAAAATATCTTAATTTGTGTTCCGAAGATGAACGAAGGTCTTACGGGTTTGGAACAACATGAGGGTGAGTAATTAATGACAGAAATTTCATTTTTGGGTGAACTAACCCTTTAATAATGAACATATTCTTTGTATTGTCTGCTCACCCTGTCTTTGTTTTTCTTCTTCAGATGCAGTGAACGGAGTGAGTTTGTCTCTGCCCTCTCTGCCGCTGGAAGGTGGGAACGTGTCTCTGAGTTGCAGCTGGTCTGCGGGTTCAGAGGTCAGTGTGGTTTGGGGTAAAGGAGGCACTGCTCTGTCCTCTGACAGCCGCATTACTATCAGCACTGGATCTCTGCTCATCAAACAGGCCAGGAGAGATGATGTAGGAGAATACACATGCACCGTCAGCAACACCGTCAGCGCTCAAACCGCCAAGGCCACCCTCAGTGTCTACTGTGAGTCAATAACAATTCATGCTGCAGAAACTAGTCACCTTTTGGCAAATTTCTTGTTTTCAAACTGTTATGTTTACACAAACTACATATTAAAATATCTCAATTAAATCATTATTAAAAATCCATTATTCCCGAAGTTTCAAGAACTGAATATTTTTCACAGTTCTCACTCTTTATGATCAATGAATTCACACGACTTACACAACAAAGTTGTTTTTTCATTCACAAATAGCAATTTCTCAGCAAATTATAGCCAGCAAAATAGTTTGTAAAAAGTATTTCGAAAAAAGTATACTTATTATTAATTAACCATTATTTATTTATTTATTTATTTTGAGCAATTTTATTCATTACACCAAAATATTCCCTCATATTCCACTAAAATTTTCTTATATCTCAAGGTCAGGTTTATTATAGTAAACTAAAATTAAACCATTAAGAAATATGTTCCTTGCTTAAAATAAATTACAGAAATAGAAATATAAAAAACGTGCTTTCTCTCTCTCTCTCTCTCTCTCTATATATATATATATATAAATAAAACTATAGACATTAAAATATATATAGACAAATTATAAAAAAGAAAAAATACAAAACTAAAAATAAAATATTAATTAAAACTATAATAATATTGCAATTATACTAAAATCACAGGTTTTTCATGAATGTGGAAAATAAAAAAGCCAATATAAAAAAAGAAATTTTAGTTTTAAGTTTATTTTTTAGCTGTTTCAGCTAATTGTACTGCTTGTTTTGGCATATTTTAAGTCATTTTAAGTTATTAATAAGCCTCTTTGGAAACATACTGAGTTTAATTTCATTAAGAAGACCTCAAGTTTATATTCTTTGCACGTCAACCTTGTGTGAACATTTCTTGCAGTTGGTCAAATAAGAGCATGTTTTATGACAGCAGCATGCGTTCAGAGACACATGACATGAAAAAATGACTAAAGAGCTTGTAATGTTCTGGTTTGCTGGACAAACATAACAATAACATACAAGACATATTTTGGATTAATTTCTGCTCCACTAGTGACTAATTGCAATCTGTTTGAGGTACATGACAACACTGGCTCAACCAGTAGTCCAGCCAACGGCAGATGGAGGAAACCAAAGACTGTTTTTGTAATTCTGTTTGGTGATTTAGTTTTATTGTTTTGAGTGTTTTGTTTTGAACTCAAGTGATTCATAATGTGAAGCAATTTTTGCGCTGATGTCAGACTTACTCATGCGTTGTAAATAATCAGATCTTTTGATTGGTGTCCAACAAGTTTTAGATAAAAAGAAAATAATGAACTGAAATTAAGCACAAGTATTTAATTGCAGGATTATCAAAAATAGACATTAATACATGGTAAGACAGAGACAGAATAATACAGAATACCTAAATGTCTAAATATTAAACTTTTTTTTATTTTTTACAAATAATGATAATAATTTATTACATTTTATTCTTAATACTACTGTTAATAATAATTAATATTTCTGTGAAGCTTCTTTGAAACAGTATGTATTGTTAAATACACTACATATAAACTTGAACTGAATTACTATATTTTTATTATAATTTTTTTTAGGTATTATATATTAAATCCCACATAGCTAGCATTATTTCACTGAATTTTCTGTACAAATAATTATAAGATAAACAATTATGGTGATATATAATTAATCATACAGTGATACAAGATGGCTGGACAATATGGCTAAAAAAATATAAATATTTTACCTTTTTTTGTACAATTTATTTATTTAAGATTTTGGTCATACTGACCAACTTTACAGTGTCTGACACACCTTTTAAAGTTCCTGTAAATTGTCATTAAGCATTTTTATTTTATAATTTTGTTGGTTCCTTAGATGGTCCAGACGCCCCACAGTTGACTAAGACCTCAAGCGAGTGTGTTGGCGGTGGAGATGCTACGGTCGGACAGACGGTTCGTCTCACCTGTACGTCTGCCCCTCTACCTCCTGCCTCCTTCTCATGGGAACTTAACGACCAGCCGGTGACCGCCGGCCAATCAGGGAGTGCGCCTGCATCACACGGAATGACGTCACAGGAGTGACATCGAAGCAGCAGATAGATCTGACCGTTGTGGGTGAGTTAATGGCTCTCTGTGGCACTTTGGTGATGGATGCATCTGTCAGTTCATTCTTCGGCCTGACATTCATTTTCTTGACCGGAGAGGGAGTAATCAACCACAGGATTGATAAATTCATGTGTCACCTTTCTAGAAGGAGTCATAATTTTCATCCGCCTACAATGATTTTCCTTTGCAGGATACTTTCTTCTATTTGCTGGCTCCATTATTGATGTTTCTGTGATGTGTTTTTTCTTTGCCCTTTATGCCCTGGCTCCATTTCTGTCTGCTGGTATTAGCAGTGCTTGTTAATCTAGTTCCTCAAATGTAAAATATAAAAATCATGTTTACAGGTACGTGTCTCAGCGGAGGCGGCATAGCAGGGATCGTTGTTGCCTGTGTTGTTGCACTCATCATAATTATATCGTTGTAATTATTTTGCTTCTGCAACAAAGAAACGGTACGTCCCTCCTAAATGCATCAGTTTATTGTTTTGTTTTATGATGCTTAAAGGTCTGACATGATTATATGCTCATATTTACAGTTGATCAGAGACTCAGAGATAATATTGGACTTCAGAAAACAAACCAGAATGACAGTAAGACGGTGCCACCTTCTCTTATTGTGTTCTGTGTAATGCAGAGTAATACCTCTTAGGGATAAACAATATAGCTAAAAAAAAAAATATTTTAATATATTTTTTATTTGTACAAATAATGATGATAATAATAATAGTAATATATTTTGTAAAAAATAAAAAGATTGCATATTATTATTGGTATTATTAATAGTTATTGTAATTATCTGTAAAACTAAAAATGTTTTAAAATATTTAGATTATTACTATTATTGTTTGTTGGTTGTTGTTGTCACACCCCTGGACCTGTTTTGTTGTGTTTTCTGTCCCCATGTGCTCCCCGTGACCCGGTTTCTCCCTTGATTGTGTTCATTTCATTCAGGTGTGTCTAGTCAATTACCCTCGTTTAGTCTGGTATTTAAAGTGTAGTCTGTCCTGTGATTCTTTTGTCTGGTGTCGGCCATGCTATGTAAAGTGTGTGTTCCTGCTTGCCCTGTGTTACCCCTAGTTTTGGATTATTAAAGACTTCTCGAAGTAGTAAGGTGACAGTTGTTGTTTAAAAAAGTGTCATGGTTAGAAATAGTAAAAAAAAGTCTAAAAAATAAAATGAGAAAAATGTAAAAAAAAAAATTTAAATTAGATTTTTTCGTATGTTTTGTAATGTAGAAAAATATATCTGAAGGCTGGACAATATGGCTAATATATATATATATTTATTTTTTTACTACTACTGCTATTACTTATGGAAGCCCGTTTCCGCCACTAAATAAAAAAATATAATTTTTTACTACTACTGCTATTACTAGTACTAATAATAATTAGAAGTAAATTACATTTTATCCATATGTTGTAATAATTAGCAAATTAGATTTTATTCATATGGTGCTTGGAAAAATAAATAATATTCATTATATAATATTCATATTATGTATATTAATTGCAATAATAATAATACTATTTTATATATAATACATTGAAATTTGAATATTATTTAAAGTAACTTACAAGTAAAATATAGTATTATATAGCAATATAATTTTAAAAGAAAATATTTTTTCTGTACAATTTTTTGTACTAAACTTTACAAGAAAAAATTCTTCTTTTTCATTTGAATGAACCAGTATATCAACACAAAGTAATAATCAGCAACATTTGCTTACAATAAACAATGGCACGCAGAGATGGTGTGAACATTTTGTTTTACAGATGATGTAAACAAATTATTATAGCACTGAACTGATTCATTAAAATGGACAGTTTCTGAACTTATTCACATCAATGAATACTTACTGTAATATGCTATTAAAACATCTTTATATTGACACTCTCATGCTCGCTTTTTGCAGGAAGAGAATTTCTGCCAGACAAAACCAGTCTTTTAGAAAATGTAATAGCCACATAAAAGCACCTTGCAATCATTGCAAAGTCCATGATGATGCCCAGCCTTAACATCTCTTTCAATTTACAATAATACCTCTTTTCACATGTTCCCTCTCTGCAGACTGCAAACAGAGCCTTTGTCAATGGAAACCACCCTGATCCCACATTACACAACTCACTCCCACAAAACTTCACCGCCATTCCCAATAACAACAATGGGAACATCAACACAATGTCACAAAACATGCCCAGCAACTCCAACCCACTCCATCATAATGGCCATTTGAACACTGATGTATTCCAACACCGCTTCAGCACAGTCCCAGACAATGGGCATCAAAACAATTCATATCCAAACAATGACCCTCAGAGGTCATTCCCACAGTCTGTCCAACACAATCCCAATATTCTCATACAAACGGGCAATTCTCAGCCTGGTGCGCTTGCGCCTACAGTTCATGAAAACCTCAACACCTTGCCATGTAATGACCAGTTTAATAATTCACAACCTCAAATGGTGCATGTCAACTTGAACACATACCCTCCAAAAGCAAATCAGATGGTCCAGCAACATGCAGAAAGTGCACTACAGATTCAACATATTAACAGCAACCATCAAAATCATTCTCAGAATGGCTTGCTGAACTCTGACCCTTTGACATTGAGTAATCAGACACAAAATGCTCAATAATGCTTCAACAAATATTTCTCCCCAACACAACGGCCTCATTCAGACTGGATACTCTCACCCTACCAATCAAACCAATGCAAACCGCCGAACTGCCAACTCAAGATCATCAGCAGAAGACCGAACTCGACATTCAATCCCAGTTCAGACCAACAACCAGTTCAGTGACTCCAGAATGCACCTCCAACAGATGCCTTGGGACTGTTTGCAGAGAACACCTGCATATCCCAACCCTGAAGTCTATAGCTCAGACAGTAGTGGATCTTCAGATTGGCCACAATGAGATGCACAGAGGGATCGTTCTGCTCCGAGATACCGGGAAACTGAATCTTCAGGAAGGTTGACCCAAGCTGCTCCTTCCCCCCAAAGAAGAGACCTCCAGAGACCAATCGTACCTAACCACTCTCAAATGCACCCAAATGTGCAAAGACAATCAACCCAACAGAATTTAAGCACACAACCGCAAGTCCAATCTCAAATCCAGACCGCAATACCTCAAACCAAAACCTCTCAGGTTCAGAATCCAATCCCCATTGGTCTACCAAGGGGAATGACCATACCTCAAACACAAACTGGCACCAGACCAAATCAGGCCATGCCTCAGCCATCTGTTCCTCTTACTGAAGCTGCACTACGCCAACACACCGCCCAGACCGATAACGCTTTCACCAACCGGATCCAGCAGACTCCAGCTGCCTTGCAGAACCCTGGACCTTCTCAACCCATACAGCAGCTCAACATAGCAGGCCAGAGGCCTCCTATTCCACCTCCGGTGCTGCGGCTGGATGAGTTCCAGAAACTTCCATGTGAACGCATGAAGCAGCCGCAAACCATCCAGCCTGTGAACGTGCAACGTAGACACAGATCTCCAAACGTGCACAGGCAGAATCGAGTGTTGCATACGAGCCCTCAGCGAATGCCGGGAGTGAATCCCATGCATGCAACCATGCATTGGACACCCAACCCATATGCGACAGGTACGTAACCTGACACTACGTGAAATGCATCCTCACATTTTGTGGCTGATGAAATTTCAACTTCATTTTTAAGTTATACAAGTTTCAACTAGACATGATTTAAAAAAATTATTTGAAATGTCTTGTACAGCCAATTTGATTAGAATTAAAAATTGAAAAGAATAGTTCACTCAAAAATGAAAATTTGCTGAAAATGTCCTCATCCTCAGGCCATCCAAGGTAGATGAGTTTGTTTCTTCATGATTTGGAGAAACTTAGCATTCCATCACTTGCTCACCTGTGGATCCTTTGCAGTGAATGGGTGCCATCAGAATGAGAGTCCAAACAGCTGATAAAGCATCACAATAATCCACAAGTAATCCACACCACTCCAGTCCATCAGTTAATGTCTTGAAAAGTGAAAAGCTGTGTGTTTGTAAGAAACAAATCCATCATTAAGAGGTTTAAATATAAAATGTTGCTTCGGACCAAAAAAATTAGTCCATAATCCATAATAACGCTTCCTCAGTCCAGACAAAAGGTTCATTCCCTCTTGTCTCTCAGATCTGAATCCACCAATATATTTGTTTAGAGCTGTTTTGAACTGTTTTCGCTTGTAAACGGTGCTTGATCTGTGCAGATTTCTCTCCTGATTCAGACCAGACCACTTTTTCACAGGAGGAAGCAATATTATGGATAGAGGACGGTTTGAAGTAACTTAACATCAACTCTTAATGATGGATTTGTTTCTTAAAAAAATGCTTTTGGCTTCACAAGATGTTAACTGATGGACTGGAGTAGTTGAATTGGGTGGACATTTTTTATTTATAATATATATATCCATGCTTCAGTGATGGGGGACCTGAAATGGTTCCTCTGTGGCATTACTGCGAAATCACCCTTTAGCCTTTATGCTTAAGAGTGTATATTTATGCTTATTAGAATACCGCATTGTCAGCTCAGCAGCAGGCTAATGTAAAATTAACACACGCTATTTATTTCACGGTTCCTCAGTGCAATATTTATATCCATGCTTCAGTGATGGGGGACCTGAAATGGTTCCTCTGTGGCATTACTGCAAAATCACCCTTTAGCCTTTATGCTTAAGAGTGTATATTTATGCTTATTAGAATACCGCTTTGTCAGCTCAGCAGCAGGCTAATGTAAAATTAACACACGCTATTTATTTCACGGTTCCTAAATCAGTCACTTATGAATATGCAAATATGTTAAGGCTCTTTCATATCTCGTATCAAGACTTCAGCGCTCCTTTTTGACTTCCATGTGAAACGCACTGCAGACAGCATCACAGAAAAGCAATTTTACGAGGTTGCTAGGCACGAAAATGGGCAATGTATATGGTAAACAGTGAAAACACATACGGTATTTGCACCTAGAAGAGAATCTGTGGTGATTGTTTTGTTTCATTGTAGAAAGAAAAAAAGTTTTATTGTCTCTGGATGCTCTTGATGTTTTAAATGAGGTCAATTGATAACATTAGTTAATGCATTAGCTGACAATGACTGTTTTTACAGCATTTATCTTTTTTAATGTTCGTTAATAAAAATTGATAATTGTTCATATTAGTGCATTAATGTTACAAGATACAACTTTTAATTTTAAACATGTTAACGAGTGTTGACTAAGATAACAGTAAGATTGGTAAAAGCTGTAAAAGTATTGTTCCATGTTTTTTCCATGTTCCAAGTATTACCAAATTAGCTTCTATTCAGACTTTCAGTTTGACTTGACTCTCATGGGCAAAATTACAGTTACAAGATACATGGAAAATGCCAAACAAGTAGTAAAGGATGTGAAAGAGTTAAAAATAAATATAAATGCACAAAAATGCATTATGATGCTTTCAAGACCTCTTAAAGTTTGACAGTTAAAATAACTGAAAAAACTTTTCATGCGTCATGCAAATCGTCTGATAATCATTGGCTTTCAAAATCATTAAAAAAGGTCAGCGAATGGGGTTGAAGTTGAAATTGAACTTTAAGCTGGGCCAACGCTGTCGCAGATGCCGAGTTCAGTTCATTGGGCAACGCTGACTCGAGTAATGTGAAAGGGCCTTTAGACATGATTTATATCAAATGAAGCATTTTTGTTCTTTCTTTTCTCCTCCTCCTCTCCAGCAGGTCCACAGAGGCAGACCCAGACATTAAGAAAATGCAGCGCTCGTCTGGCTCGACACCATTCGCACTACAAAAAACGTTTGTACAAAGCACAATGTCTCTCAGGTGGAAAGAAACAAACGCTCAGCCATTCCTCCTGCCCTCGGCTTATTGTGCCGTACAAATCTTTGTGTTTTGTCGGAGAGATGGCATTATTGATAAAAAGACTGATCTTTTTGTTTCTCCTGCACAGCTGTCACGTAGGCATGTGAAAGCCGCGGCTGTTGAACAGGACACTGTGTGAATTTCATCCGTCGGAACAATGCTGCTCTTGGAGTTTTCTTGTGCTCAAGTGTCTGAAAATAAAACACAATGCAGTGTTTTTTCACAGACAGGAAGACTTGAACAAAATCCAAATGAATTAGGATGGCTGGCAGAGCTGAACTACTAAATGCTAAATAATGGACTGCCGCTGTTTGTCCTCTCACAACTATTTATTCAGCTTTCTGCTCACAGATGCTTCTTGTAGCACTGCTCAATTAGTGCGATCCGCTACGGTGCTTTTGTGGATGGATTGCGCATTTGAGTATGAAGGAGACCCACCTAACGGACGTGTAATTAATTAAGCTCTTTAATTCTTATGTTAATGATGTGGAAAATGCTAATGAGTTTAAGTAAAATAGGTTGCTGACAGGCCTAGCAAAAATATGATGAAAAGCAAATGTTTGGTCAGATGGTTTATGTCATGTACTGGAGGTTTTACAAATAAATTCTCCCAATTTGCATCGCTTTGTTCTTCATTACATCTTTAATACAAGATTTCTCAAAGTTAGACACAGAAATCAATTTGTAACTGAAATAATAGAGCACTACTGAAGTCGCAGTGAATTCTCAAGAAGAGGTTTGTAGAAGAAGAAACTTCCCTCTTTGACTTAATTGCAAGCACAGATTAAATTAATATCAGTGTGCATGTATTTATAGACATGCATTGTACAAAAAAGGGTTCCTTACTGTTGGGGAAATAAATTCACTTCCTTTAGTAAATGAAAAATGTCTCGCTTCTTTCCGGTTTTGTCATCGTAGGTGCAGCATGTGTCAAAGTGACATAATGAGAAAAAGCTTTAAAGACTCTAGGAGCGTCACATTATCACTTCTGAATCTGTGGTGTGGACTGATTAATTAAGGTATAAAATATTTTGCTACTACGATTTTTTTAAAATTGTGATGATTTCTTTGAAGACTAATGCTTTAACAGGTAAACTTTTTCAGTTTTGATCAGAAATATCAAATATATAAATATTTGTTCCGCATACGAGATGATATGCATTTTAATATTTACAGAAAAAAAAGTATGCATGAAATGCTAAAATTATTTTGAGGGCTTATTTTTCATTGATTGTAAGAATGAAACATTAATTTAATGTATTTGTACATTTTCATATCTAATAATGACATTTTTCTGAAACATAGATGCTGCTAGTTAACATTGGATGCACATATATAATATATATCTAATTCTCTCATACATTTCTTTCAGTTTTGAGAAGTAGCTAAATCTACAAGCAGTGTTTTTTTTTCACATGATCACTAATAACCAACATTTTGCATTGCTGGTATTTCCCTAGTTTCACATCTCACATAGGTGCAACTGAATTTGCATTCTAGGAAATTTATTTTGAGTATTCATATTTTTTAAATAGTGTGTATTAATTGTAAGTTCTCTATGAAAATGAAGACTGCATAGATATTACAAATACGCTAATGGTCTGAAAATGTATAACCTAATCATGCATTCTGATCTCTGTATGTGTGTTGCGGAATTCTTTTTTTCTCAGTAATAACACCTGATCATGTGACCAGTTTCTACATGCATTTCCTGAGATGCAATACTATTTATTTAGAATTTATTTGAGCCTATTCTAAACATACTGCATGCTTTTTTATTATTCCAAGGATACAGTAGATGCATATTTAACACAGTTGTTTGGTTTAGTCAGTCCCATCTGTATTGAACTGTTTTTATTGCCATTAATAAGTGACCTACTTACCAAAAATAGGATACTTTACTACCTTAAAGCTCCATTGTGTGGTCAAGATACTGGATTAGATACTGCACCAGTGCCTGTAGAGGACAATTACATTAATGAGAATAACTTCTCGTCAAGCAATATTACACTGATATTAAAGACAATAAAATCATTGCATGCCAATTTTTAGTATTGAAAGGTTCATATTGAAAGAATATGATGTTGCTAAAAAAGAACATTATTTTGTGTATTTGGTGTAATGAAATGTTTATGCAGTTTAAGGTTAAAAAAACATTATTTTCCACATACTGTACATTATTGTTTGTCCTCTATGCCCCGCCTTTCTGAAACGCTAGATTTTTTTATAAAGCTCATCTTTCTGAAAAGTGAGGTGTGCTCTGATTGGCCAGCTGTCCAGAGCATTGTGTTTGGCCGAATACCTCAATATATTTACAGGTTATGAGTCAGAATAGCCGGCATTGTAGGTTCAGGAAACAGTCCTCTGTAAAATGCATTGCACACACACGAATATTTGGGTTGAACTGTTCTGGAACAGTGTTGTAAATACAACTTAACCACTGATTTCTAGTCGTGTCCTCTTTTGGAAGACCAAACAAAGTAGTTTCACTTTCACAACGAAACACACAGCGTCTTCATGACATGGCGGCGGCCGCAACAATACTACAGCGAGAATAAAAGTTACGCCTTCTTTCTTTGCGTGAACATTTGGATTTTACACATACTGTACATTATTGTTTCTCCTCTATGCCCCGCCTTTCTGAAACGCTAGATTTTTTTATAAAGCTCATCTTTCTGAAAAGTGAGGTGTGCTCTGATTGGCCAGCTGTCCAGAGCATTGTGATTGGCCGAATACCTCAATATATTTACAGGTTATGAGTCAGAATAGCCGGCATTGTAGGTTCAGGAAACAGTCCTCTGTAAAATGCATTGCACACACACGAATATTTGGGTTGAAGTGTTCTGGAACAGTGTTGTAAATACAACGTAACCACTGATTTCTAGTCGTGTCCTCTTTTGGAAGACCAAACAAAGTAGTTTCACTTTCACAACGAAACACACAGCGTCTTCATGACATGGCGGCGGCCGCAACAATACTACAGCGAGAATAAAAGTTA